ACTTGGATTTGCGGTTGGTGCAGTGGATAATAGCTCGAAATATGTTAATCAGTGAGCCGAGTTCCAATTGCAGTTTGGTTCGTTACATACGCTTACGGATAATTACCCCTGGGGAAAAAAAAGGCAAGAATCCTCCAACTTTACCCTCAGCTTTGGGTTATTCCGTAAAAATTCTATCATTAAATCATTATTATCTTCAAAAATAGGGTAAAACTGAGGACCGAGAAGAGGATTCAGAAAGAGTTGGACGAGTTTAATGGTGATTCCGTAGGTGTTTGGAGTTATCACTAGTGAAGGCGACGTTATGCCTCCGTTCATCTTCCCACGGGGCCTCAAACTCAACACGGAGGCCTACATCAAATGTCTTGAGGTGGTAGTGCTACCCTGGGTCAATAGGGTGACGGCTAAAAGACACTATGTTTGGCACCATGCCACACAAGCAGGAGAACCGCGTCATAGCTGTCAGGCAACTTCTGCAACCACATTACCCCTAACATCTGACCATCTCACTCCCCAGCCTGCAAACCACTTGATTATGTGTGGGGCTCAGTTGAGATCAACAAAACTCCTTACAACACCAAAGATAGACTGAAGGCAAGAATTATGTCAGAATTCACCAACTTAGACAAGGAAATCTTTCAGAAGAGTTGCAGGACCCTATCACTACTCTCCAAAGCCAATATTTTATTTAGTTGCGTATGAACCCATAGAGGTAGAGACCTTGGGACGGTGTAATGTTCAGCAAGCTTGTCTCGCTAGAACAATTCCAACTGAGTAGTGAGTTCGATCCTCACTGGGTGCCCACATACTTTCGGCCTTGTGCCACATCTAAGCTACGCTTGGAAAATCACTATGTATCCAGGGAGGTTTGCATGCAACAAAACAAATAAAATTAAAAAAAAAAATTCCAATTCTCAAGTCTATGCCAAATCCAAATGTGGTACTATAGTTCTGTGGGGTGTCTTAACCGTTTTAAATATAAGTATATAAATTCTGCCATGATCGAAGAGAGTACCGTGAGTTCACTATATCATCACTCCAGTCCTGGATATGACGATAAACTACATCCGGCAACAAGTCTTGAGATTGGATATTTTCAGAAGTGTGGAACCACCTCTGAGTTGTTATTGTTCCTTTCTCCACCCTAACCTTGGGTGGTAGCACCTGTTAGGGTCACAGCTATGGTGACCCTCCACCACAAAAAAAAAAAACAGTGTGAAATATAAATATAAATTTTCATCGTAAAAATACCAGTAATACATTTGTATCTAGTACTAGCAGCATGGCCCGGCGTTGCCCGTGCTTGATTGAAAAATCGTACGACTCATACAGCAATCGCTATCATTTGACTTAAAATATTTTTGCCCTTCCTTGCCTTTAAAGGAGTGCCCTTTGCCTTGCTGATGTTGCTACATGCCTTACTTCTTGCCTATCTCACGCTGCGAATTTTTTCTAAGCTCTATACTAAACATTAAATCTGTTACGAAAAAAGAACTAAACAAAATGAACACAAAACGATCAGCTTTAAAAAAGGACTCGTAACTGGAAAAACCGAATAAAAAAGAATGTTAACAACAAATACTTTTTCACACCCCAGTTCTGCGGAATCAGAATCAATGTTGAGTTTAAGCAAGCGAATGAACCAACTGGATTAAAGTGCCATACAGATTTAAATTTTTCCCAATGTGACGAATGCAGCTATCGATTTCTTGGCATGCTAGCATGCTAGTTAACATTCGTATCAGTCAGCTGTTGGCTCACACGTTGGCCAATAGAGTCTTCCTGCCTATTCGTGGCAGCCAGTTATAGGCTCTCACTCTGGCCAGTAGAAAATGGCCGCAAACTACATGAAAACTGCCGTAGAAGCATGAAAAATTCGATTATTTCCACTATCGATGGGAGTTGGGAAATGCAAAGTCGGTCATGTTCTTTTCGCTAACTTGGAGCATGTGCATGTAAATTTTGGTGCAAATCCGTCGAAAATTGCGGACGTGCATTCGTCACACACACACACACACACACACACACACACACACACACACACACATCCTGCCTTTTATAGATAGAGATAAAAATTACCAACAATACTTATTTATAATAAAATGACCAACAATACATTTTATCTGTGGTTGAAAGCATAAAATTGGGTTCAAATTATTTAAATTTCGGCATTAAATAACCTGTACATGTGTTGATATGCCGCTAAACAAAATCAACCAACTAACATGAAAAAACTATTTCAGTACATTAATCCATATAATATCCTACAATTTCTTAAATCAAATTTTATTCCAAAATATAACTTCAACAAAACTACATCATACAACACACATATCACTGTCACTAGTAATTACGACCTTACAAACGTATATATGTACAAAATCTGAGCACAGTCTACCATGTATTAAATTATGAAAGCAGATTGACGTATATAATTTTTTTTTTTTTTTTACTTCAAAGATCCCCTGAAAATTATATTTGGGTATTAAAGTGATCTTCCAAGCGTGGCTCAGATGCGGCACTTGATCGAAACTAGGAGGCACCCAGTGAGGATCGAACTCACTCCTCAGTCGCAATTGTTCGAGCGAGACAAGCTTGATGCCATAAAAAGTTGATATGCCGTGATAAAAATATCAATCAATCAATAAGATCATCACTGAGTGACAAATTTTATCAGGAGTGTGGAAAATGATCAGTGGCACATTTAAAATAAAACAATTTCAAATAAGCATAACTTAGAATATTAATGCTACAAGATGACCTAGGATGATAACTTTTTCTGCACCCCCCTCATACTTACCCGATGCAATAATAATCAGCCGATGAGTTACGCAATGTAGAAAGGATTAGTGTCTCAAGTCGATGTTCCAAACTCTCGTTTCAACATGGAGATTATTTAGTTTTTCCTGTACAGCGTAAACGTCAAATGGGTTCGGCTGCTTTATTTTACCGATACCTGGTGATATTTGATCGAACTGACACAGCTTTGGAAATGTTCAATTCAACGATAACGAAAGAGAGCGTCGGGCACGAAGGAGAGCAAAAGTAAAAAGCAAATCCGGTTTCTGCAAAGCCGAGAGCGCGCCAATTCCATCAGGTTTGCGCATGCGTCTTGGGACAGCTCATCTTGGCGGGCATTTCGCTCAGCGTTTCGCTTAAATGCTTAAGTGATTTGCTTCCTCTGTTACGAATAAGAGGCAATCAAATCATAACGGCAACAAAAAAAAAAAAAGAAGGTAAAAAAGAGGAAGGAAAAGGAAATAAAAGAAAGAGAGAAAGAAAGAAATGCCAGAATGAAGGAATAGAAGAATGGGCGTTCGATAATTCCGCGCATTTAAAACTGATTGTTCGCTTCATCTTCCATTTTCGTTCCTTTATTATTTGTAAATTTAATATTTTTTTAATGCACTCGTTTGAATGCATGAATGAATAGATTAAAATCATTGGTAGAAATCATTGCTTCTTTTTTTTTTCCTTATTTTTTCCTTTAATTTTTCTGACCTGCATTTCATTCTGTTCCTTTTATTCTCTTTCTTATTCTTCCTTTTTTTTTCTTTTTTTTTTTTTTTTTTTTTTTTTTTGTCATACTCTTTCACACTTCTCTCTTCCGTTCTTTCCGCATTCGATTTCGATTAAAAATTCCCTCTAGGTATTAAAATAATGTCTTCATCCTTTTGTTCCATGTCTCAGTCCTGTACAAAAGTCCTTTCTTACCAGCTATTTAGGGTATTTTTTTTAATACTACTTCTGTTTTCTTGAATATATTTGTTTCTAGCCCGACCAAAGATCACAATAAGCCTTTTCCATTCACGGAGTAATATGTCTAAATAAAGTCTAATATGTATGTTAGTATAATAAAGAATCCAAGCAAAATTGAACGAATAAGACAAAGCGGAATCTTTTTTTTTTATTTTTAATGACAACGCATTTTGCATTTGTGTTCTCGGTTAGCGTTTTTATTATTATTATTTTTTTTATTTTCTCTGATTTCTGGCGTTTACACATTTCTTTCCGGGTCCTGCCCAGGGACCTAAGGTTAGAAATGGCATCATGACATTTTCCACTGACAAAAAAAAAAAATATTACATAGATAAAGCCTTTCGTAAAGTGTGGGCTGTACTTGTCAGAACAATTTTTTGTATCTCCTTGAGGCATGGACTTCCAGGAATCCCTTCAATTAGTCTACTGCAATCTTTTCCAACCAGTCCTAGGGCTCCAAATACAACAGGGAATGTTGATGTTCCCATATGCCACATTTTCTAGATTTCTATTTCTAGGTCCTTGTATTTTGACAGCTTTTTGAATATCTTCAAAGATACATTGCAGTCAGCAGTGACTGCCATATCAATAAGGAGGCATTTTTTTGTTTGTGGTCGTTAATAAGAATTTATTATTATTATTATTATTATTATTAAAGTTGTTATGGTTTGTTCGCTAGGTTGGGCTCTTCCGATGAGAAAGAAAGAAGAAAAATGCGGATATATGTTTTATTTAAATTTAAGCCATGTTATTTTTGGTTTTATATTGAAGCCAATATATATTTTTTTTACCATTGATGTCTGTTGGATTTGAAATTAACCAACTCCGAGTAAATCACTGTTATCCTCTTTATTAGCTCGTATAACGCATTGTGCTGTGACTGCTTTTGACATGATCTGTTTTGTTATCATGCATGAGCCTGGTCTTAGGTTTATCGTCAAAATTTTAGAAATCAGCTCACTCTCAATACATTTTCTTTCTTAGTGGATCCTTTTTTCTCTCCTGATCAAACTGACATTTATTAAATCGAAATGATGGACAGGTGTATTACTTCTTTATGCGTTATATATTTGCAATGTTCATATAGTCTTTTTTGAATGCTTTCTAGATGTTTCACCGATGTATATTATTGGACAATATTTACAATTTTTTATGCATAGATTTTCTGTTGTTCTTGCTATTTATTTTTATGCTAACCATGTATCTTATTGTTTTAGAGGTTTAATATATGTGAAATGTAT